TTTTACACAAGCCGTATGTGGCCAGCCATCCAAATATTATATATATATATATATATATATATATATATATATATTGCTACCCCCCGGACAATAAAAAATCGTTCAGCTGTAGCACCCTTTCAGTACCTAGCTGCCATGCCACCCGAGGGATGCACGAGGGCTGGGATACTGTCAGGTTGCCCAAGTCTATACAAGGGAAGTCGAGAGACAGGTCGGGTTCGAACCACGGACCTTCCAGTCAATAATTCGCGCTCTAATCACTGAGCCATTTCGCCCCCGGACAATAACCCATTAACGAAGAACTGCTCAATTGGGGGTGGTTCATTTTGAGGTGGACACCCTCCGTTTGGCACACGGACAAATAAATTACTATGATACACTGAAGCTAGTGTACGGATATTGTAACTCTGTTCTATGACAAACGTCTCATACAGACCCCTGTGGGGGCGAGATGGCCCAAGTGGTTAGAGCGCGAATTTACTGACCGGAAGGTCCGTGGTTCGAATCCGACCTCCGCCTCTTGACTTCCCCTGTCTAGGCTTGGGCAACCTGGCAGTATCCCAGCCCTCGTGCTTCCTTCGGGTGGCATGGCAGCTAGGCACCGAAATGATGGTACAGCTGAAGGATCATATTATTGTTATTATTACAGACCCCTCTGTCGTCTATGAACATAGTCACCAAGTATAGTTTAGTAAAACTCCATTATGTAGCTGCCACTGCCGTACTGCTCAACTGAATTGCACCGGGGACTCTCATTTGCATGTAAACCTTTGCACGGTGTAAGTCCAGATAGTATCACTCCGATATTGGCGTTCTCTCCATCGAGGACAACCCTAATATCGAGGATATCTAATGCTGTGTTAATTCTGTGCAACTGAATTAAATATTCAACAGGTGGAGACACTGGTTTGCGTCTGTGGCGTTATCAGGCGGTATTCTAGCTCTAACTTTTGTGTTACAGTCACCCCGAGAAGCTCAAGTTCATGTTTAGACAGATCAACTGTCAGAAGACCAGTTTGTTTGTTTGGATTCTCAAGCGGATTCCACTCGTATGCTCTCCCGGAAAAGACCATTTGCTGGCAGAGACGGCTTTCGATCGTTCCTTTGAAATAGTCTTTCGAGAAGCAGAGTGGAGAAGTGTGCTGTTTCCTCTGTTTAGAGGGACTGGCGAGCATCACTTTCGATTTAGATTTCCAAGTGGCTTTCGCAGTGCAAGAACTAGTAAAATCCCAACTTCAAAAGCTGCCGTCAGAGAAACACCATGCCATGCAGTCGTTTTGCAGACACGCGATCGATGTAAAATTACACGAAGCCCAGTGCACGAATTTCGCATCGTGGTCTCTGCCGGACGAGATGGCCCAAGTGGTTAGAGCGCGAATTTACTGACCGGAAGGTCCGTGGTTCGAATCCGACCTCCGCCTCTCGACTTCCCCTGTCTAGGCTTGGGCAACCTGTCAGTATCCCAGCCCTCGTGCTTCCTTCGGGTAGCATGGCAGCTGGTCACCGGAAGGGTGTTATAGCCGAACGGTTTTCTCTGTCAGGATTGTATTTTACGCCACGGGGACATTCGAGTGATTTCTTTGGAAGGGCGGTCTTTCAAGAGGCCCCCATTACAAGACTGATCTCGTTGGACCGAGATGAAGTGAGCCCAATCGGAGCGTGGGATGGTGATGTTTCTCGTGTCCACAACTTGAAGCTACTTATTTAATCGCGTGTAATTTCGTCTGCTGTGAATCATAGTTCCCAAGTGTATGCAAACGTTTTGTGTAACAATCTGTCTAATGCCAACGAAAATGCTCTCAATTATCGATTAGCTCGAGATGGCTCAGTGGTTAAGGTCTCTGATTCGAACCCAGCCTCAGCATCTCGACTGCTCTTGTTTTAGCTTGGGGAACCTGGCGGTATCTCAGCCCTTATGCTTCCTTCAGCGGCAAATCAACCAGGCACCGAAAAGGTGTTACAGATGAAGTATGATATATAAGCATTAAATCATGCCTGGAGTTCGGCAATACATTGAATATTCAGAGTACAAATTCCTACGCTCTATGGATCACCAGTGCATGCGACATGTGGAATACTATTTTACAACGATGCAGTGAAACCTATAGAGACTGATCTCTCTTCTGGGGAGTCGCACACCAAATGGTGCTTTTGGGGGATTGCTGTTGTTCAAGAGAGTGGCATCCACTCGTACAGGCCTTTTCTGAGGGGAGTAGTGTGTAGCAATTTACGTCGCTGCTTTTAAGATGCTTTCTAGCTACTCATTTTTCCACGGTTTACTTAATATTGAAAAATTGAGATTATGGTGTAAATGGTACATTAGAGGCGCTGATCGGGAACTACTGGCCTGCGCGAAACTCCGAAAACCCTTCTTTTGAATAGAACGAACTTAGCCGGCCTTCGAATCTTGCTGCGTTTTTATATTAGGTTTGGCGCCTCGATGGTACCTACATCACCAGGTATCCACCCAAATCTACCCTAATCTGCCTACTTAATTGTGGATAACAGGTACTACTGGTGTGCCCTCTTCATGACGGTGGCCTGTCTTTGGATGGGCCTCTCAGATCTTGTCAGTAGCCGTGTGCCTACTTGTCGCGTTCATGTAAGGAGACTCGAAAGACGAATGTTGCATCCTGGTCTTTGCTAGATAACAAAGTCGCTTCTAGTGGACATCTAGATCGGTCACTGTTGTTTTCGCAAAAGATATATCTGAAGGCAAACCGCATGGGACTGAAGTTGTCTTAATTAAGGAGTTAGTCCCTCTTGGGAGGTGGATCACTGAGGGGGGTTACTATGTTGAGGAATGTACCACCCGTCCCCCGTTCGAACTGTGTTCACATCCTGGTTGTTCCATTCTGTTTCTCGTACAGGTCATCCAGACGTTGAATGCGGTCGTCGACGCTCCGATCCTCGACCTCCAACGGACGAACTAATACCAGTCTATCGACGTGATTGTCACACCGAGGTCTACTGTGGTGGTCATACCTATCCTGGCGTGGGGGTCTATGTTTTCAAGTTTGACAATTCCTTCTCTTTGTGGCGTTCCAAATGGTTGTACTATCGAATTGGTTTCACCAAATGAAATCTAGTCATCCAGCCTATTCCACAGTCTGGCTTCCTTGATTCTCACAGTTCTTTTCTCATCATCATCATTCGCTGTGGTTTATTTGTTCTCCACATACCACTTGCCCCTGTTGTTTGTGGTATTATCTCGACCTTAACTGTGCATTTTATTCCCACTGGCCAGTCCTGAGACGCCCCAATGGGTCTACCCAAACAAGCTTGGCAATCGCCTTTCCTTACACTAAGTGTCACTTGCATTTTATTGGTTTTAATATCTTGTTTCTTTGTGCTTCGTCTCCGTGCTAATACATCACTACCACCAATGGTCACACTTGATTACATTCAGTCTGACAGATACGTTTTTTTACCTTTCGTTAATTTTCATCGCATTCACATCATTTTTCCTGGAGTGAAGGTCTCAACAAAGTCCAAGGTCGGGCTTCAAATGAGCAGGGAATTAATTAGCCTTTGGTTGTACGGTCTCGTACATGAGCTCACAAAGTTCAGGGTTCGATTCCAATCCTGATGTCGAGATTTCTGCCCAGTTGACTTGGGCTGCCCAGGAGCATCTAAGCCGTCGTGTTTCTTTCAGGCCGCATGCGCTGAAGGGGTGTTAGATTAGCAGAGCACTAACGCATTAATTTCCATCGCACCTATTCATCGCCCGAAAGAATGATGTTCGATCGTACCGTAAAGTTTCTTATCCGGAGAAAATATCAAGTCCGATAGGAGATATTTCGAAATTTCATCGACCTCCACCTACTCACTCGCGTAGGGAGACATTTGCGGTGTACGGACAGGGACCATCATAAGCTCAGCTGTAGTGCGACGCAGTGAAGGATTCATAGAGTCATCGTTATCGACTGCCATCCACTACATTGCATAATTTATGTTACAGCAGCAAGGCACCCAGGGCTGACGTACTTTGGCGTTGACCCTGTCGTCTTCAAAATTAGTTGTGGTGTGGAAATGGAACAGGCTGCATATTAAACGATGTAACGACGTCGTTTTTATGCAATCCAAAAGGTTGCTATGGTCAAATGAAACGGGTTCGAGGGTGGGCATCATGAAGTGAAAATAACGCCTTTTGTGATTCGGCCGACTCGTATCCTGATCGACGAAATACATTCGTTTGCAAACTAATTTGGTTTTGCGAGAGACTCACCTGGAACCCAGCTGAATCTCTTGTTTGTGATGCTTTCAGGCAACTGAATGTGCCGCACCAGGCCGCCTCATGTTTCAGTCGCTACGATATTCGAGATATCGCGATACATGTATATCTTTGTAATGCACTACTCATAAGGTTGCTGAAAATCTGTCGGCAGCCCACGACCGGTTTCGCCCTTCTTGGAGCTCATCAGGTAGGCGCAATCCACGAGTTTCCGTCAACCCTATGTTCCACTCGTGAACTGTACCTGCCTGATGAGCCCAAAGAAGAGCGAACCTGGTCGTGGGCTGTCGACGAATTTTCAGCGACTTCANCTCATGAGTAGTGCATTACAGACAATTGCTTGACACCGTTTGGATAAAATTGTACTCATAACAATGAAACTAGGCATCCACGTAGAAAAGTCATCACAAATACCGGGAATCTTGGTTTTACGTTTTTTTGTTGCTAACTAGTGGACTTGGTGTCCCAGCTAATTCTTAGTATCCACTCATCGAAATAGAGCTTTCATGGACTCCTATGTCGGTTATCCTGAAAACCTGTTTCAATGACGCGAGTCAATTTTTCCCGAATTTTGAATTTCAAGCAACGATATCCTTCTTCGTTACTCGTAAGGACGAAGGTAGCAAGTAAAACCTGTTTCCAATGCTTGATCCTCGTGGCTATAATACCATAAGTCACATGCAAAGGCTGTGCGGAAATCACGGGTACCTACTCTTTGATGAAAGAGGGGCTAGGGAGGTTGATTTCAAAGGTACACGGCTCAATATGTCATGGAATCAAGTGAACAGCATCAATTTCAGGCGGGTTTGTGAGACTTGAGTTTTCGCAGGTCGGTTCAAGTTCAGAGGTCGTGTAAGTTTCATTTGGACGCCTCTGCGATCTGTGATCGCCTGGATCGTACCAGCTGTGATCGGTTCAAGAATACCATGGATGACAGGACTGGTTTCGGTCAAATGTGACGCAACAGCATCCGAGCTCGGCTTCTCCCGACCACCACCCAGAAATATCATATTGTGCTCTCGTATTTTGTCCGACAGGAGCCTTGTCTTGCTACCATGCTCGACATGAGTGCACAAATAAGTACACACAAAAGCTGGTGGTAGAGAGCATGGCGATTTGTCATTGAAACGGAGCCCAATAGCGAGGCTGGAACTGAAACTCAAACACAGACTGGGGGCCATGCGCTCCGTATGAACAGCAGCCGCGTAATCTTTGAATGAGAGCCCTATGTAGACGCGCTGTTTTTCCAAATAAAAACTGTATTTTTTGCTTTATAGATTGCATATTTCTGAGCGTGAACCGTTCAGGATGTCGGCTCTGCAGGAATGTGCGTCCTAAGAACTTGTAAACAGTTGAGGGAGCATATCTTCACTGCTGTTCCAGACAGGCATCCACTTAACTGGGTTAGGTTTCTGTTGCAACAGAACAAAGCTACGGAGAGGCATGTACTGGCCTATCCAGGTTTGCGTTTTGTGAACTTTGCACTCTGTTGTGGCTTTTTTTTATACTGAGGCACCGAAGAAACTTAACTGTGTATGTTCCGTTCTGGCTCGCCCGTAAGCTTGATAGTAGTATGAACTGGGATGTAATCGCTCAATACATCTGTTGTGCCGATGACTTCGTCAGCAAGTACGAATACATCGTCCACGTTTCCAACCACACCGCTACGCACAACTAGGCTCCCCAATAACGCACTGATGATGTCACCTCGATTGGTGATGAAACGTTTGCTCAGCGAACAAGCCAACGACCAACATCGCCCACGTGATGTAAACCACGTGGTCAGTGCGCTTAGTTCTTGAGTCTCAAGTTTGTTCGCAAAAATGTCTGCCCAAACGGGACCTAGAGGAGACCCCATCAGAGCCGTGTCCTTCTGCCGGTAAATTTGATTACTCAAAGTGGACTGAACATTATTGGTACGAAATAGCGGTAGTCTGCTAAGCTGCGAGATGTGAATGTCAATATCTTTGCCGTTGCATTCAATCAAGTTACATGGTACGTTATTCGGTAATAATGACAAGACGATCAGCCAGCTCAATCCCTTGATGTCGTGCACGAAGGTTCCGACTAATTTAGACACGTAGAGTTCACGATTTTCGTGTCGCGCTTTTGTACCGTCACGTGCGTCAGTTTTGCAATACATAACGATCCCGACTGGGGTGTCCGGCTCCGCTAGAACGGCATTACAATCAGGAGTAGGAACATCTCAACTCCAAGGATAGAATTGAGAACCTTTCTGCTGATGCATCACGGTGTTTAATAAACCCAGCAGACCATAGAAAACCATGAGTTCTCAATCGGTCTGGTGCAGCCAAGTGACACACTTGCCGAACAGGTGATGAGTTGCAACTAAATGTCTCATCTGACTTTCCCGGGATAAATGTCAACCTCAAAGGACTAACAATGATAGATGAATGCACTGAGGAATTTTCCACCGACAATATCGCAAACGTCGTAAAAAGGGCCGTTCCTCCAACTATATGTTTCTTGGTTGCTGGGCTTTATGTGATGCGACTTCTTGTAGTGAGTTAAGATCTTAGACACCTGAGGATAGTGATGCACGAGAGAATGTGTGCGATTTGCCGTTGAACCAGGTGAGACACGAATGACGGACGAATAAATTTTCTTTTGTTCCAGCATTTGAGATTGAACCTTAGGAAGTCCTCGCAGAATATGATCAAAATTCCGAGTCAGAGTGTCAAAAGTGTGAATATATTTCATATTCGACAGTTTCTCAAGTATTGACGCAAGCTGACCGTGCAACAGCATTTTGCTGGTCGGTTTTGCGGACTCTCTGGGGACCATGAAGAAATTGAATTCTCCAACGATTTGAGGAGTGTGAATAAGACTGCCATCTTCACACCGACATTATTCGAAAGCTCAGTGGACTGAGTATGCAACTAAAAGACAAATAGTGAATTCCGGCAGGTCGCAGTCACGTCTTTACCACTTTTCTCGGCAAAGTAGACTGAAAATCATGCTTGGAAGGAATTTTATCATCTCTGTTATCTCACTGCACTGAAAACCGATTTGCTTATGGCGGACATGAAATTCTAAGGCGAACTGGGAGTTCTCCATGATCGACAGGGCTTATCAATTTCAAGATGCCAGCTCACTGAGTGTAAGGTCTTCCGTCCGATTGCTGGTGCATCAATCAGGAATCAACCACACTTCAGTCAGTGATGATAAGTGAATCTGTTGAAGCGCGATCGATTACCGGTCAACTGCCCTCGAATATGGAGTTGAATTAAGTTCTATTCCGGGTTCAGCATAGATTTCTGTATGCCGTCAAAGAAGGACACTTGTCTGAAAACGGTTGACAGAGAAAACCTGTTTGACTCTCACTCATTCAGAGTCAAAATTCGAAAACACTGTAAGCAGAAATCGGCACACTGTTTGCGAAATACACCCATCTGCAAACCAACTTGATCTTAATAAGAGACTGAATTGAACCTCTAGTTTACTGTGTTCTTTAATTGATTGTGTTTCACAGGGACTGCCTCGATTTTCATTTGGTACGATATTCGAGTTGTCGCAGTATATTTTCTTGACAAAACATACTACTCATAAGGCTGCTATCGACGAGCATTCAGCCACCTCACGAGTAGTGCGTACCGCTGAGGCCAAACATCTTGCATCAAATTCATGGCCGATTAGAAGTTGACTTCTGATCACCTTCCATCCTATTGAAACCGATTGCGAAGCTTACAATAACTTGTGCAGGACGGTGGTCTTAAGATAGTTATCGAGATTTCTGAGTAGAACAGTTGAAGAATGAACTGCAGAGAACTAGTTCGTTGTTCAACAACCATTCCGCAGTGGAAAAACAGGCTGGCATTCCTGGATATGCTTATGACAAGATTGTTGAATGAGCAATTACAAACGAAGTTCCTGAAGAGCCGACGAACCCTTACGAGATCCCAAACTCAGGTCACTAGGTTAAAATACGACAAACAGAACGGACCGCCTTGGGACTCCGCCTAGGCGAGCCGTCACTCACTGCAATATTACGGAATCCAAGAAGAATGAAAAAATACGTTGTTGAACGGAATGGCTTCGGTTGGAGACCTATTTCTCTTGTGATGCGCAATCGAACCACTGTGTCTACGCAACACGTAGACCGAAGTGTTATCCTCCCGGACACCAACAACATCTTCGAAATGGCTGCAAGGTTGTGCAGCTCGGTAGAACATAAGCCAAACACTATACTGAATAGTAAATTCTCAAAATAAAAGGGACAACCGAGAGCTATAAAGAACATCGCTGTTTAGCGCGATGACTGCGAGAATTATTGTTTGGGGTAACTGTGCAAGAGATCACTTGTCAGAATGCATGTGAATATCGGGTTGCAGTTACAAGATACGAGCGAATACCACTGGTTTCTGTGTACGCAGATCGAGGATGACATCCGTTCCGGGGGAAGCACGCTCAGATACGATCTGAGTCGTACATTTCATGAAGCAACTCGGGAAGCCCTGTAGACGTAACCGTACAAAAATTGGAGCAAGCAACTAACGGGAGAAGTCAGAACTTAACAGATATCAACAAAGGACACTAGGGCAATGGAGTAAAACACACTACGGAGTGCCGCGTTGCATCATATGATATAAAATAAACATGGTGACACACTACTCATAAGGTTGCTGAAAACTCTGCTTAGAGAACAGTTGCCAATTCTCGGGCGGATGCTGCCCAAGCAGAATAACCATATGTCTGCCGCACATCGCTCTAATATTTTCACGAGAGCTGAGTACTCCTCGCACTTTTTCGAAATCGTTTCTTCCGCATGAACGCGACCAAGATTACGAAAATTTGAATATCATTCATTCATTCAGATGCAGGCACAACTGACACTTGCCATGATGGAATCTGAGTGTTACTATCAGGAAGATCAGATTCCTGAAAGTAACCTCAGAACGCCCGGAACCTACTGCCCCACCAAAATCTCAACAGGAAAGCCGGTAGGCATTCAAGCCAGTCAATCATTCAATCAGTTCAGCAAAACCTGATGAGTGTTCTTGCACGCCACAGAAGCACGACCGAATGTGATCAGCGTTCAGGCTTCTCATAGAGGCACGATCGATGTTGATGGGTGTTCACTAAAGCCTATCAGACAGCCTGGATCAATGTCAGCAAGTCCCCTTTAATAGCGTGGGGCCGCTGTAACTCTTGCTCTCGCACTCAATCGTTCGGAATATAGCGGTTGTGTTCCCTTCTGTGAGCCTTTTTCCAGGCACTGGGCACTGGAGCGGGTCGGCGAATCAGCAGATGTAACAGTTACAAAACATACTGCATCTGGAACGGAAATATTCTAACCACTGCCTACCATTTCCTACTTTGAGAAGCATATTAGCCCCCTCCGGTTGGTAAAGTCACCAGTTCGAACATTCTTTCGCTCATTTCGTTGCGGGCTAGGCAGAAAACCCCGTCTATTTGGTACGGAGATTCTCTGTTAGACAGCACAACAACAAACCGTGCGATGTTGTTACTCTGCATTCCCCCCAGGTTTGAAAGTTCAATCAGTACGAGTCGCAGGTGAATGTATCCGACCATAGCACAGAAAGTCAAATAGCATGAAGAGTCCTGATCGTACGGGTCGATATTTAATCTGAGAGGAGACATTACAGTAGGGCTGTTAAGAATAGTTATGGGTAGTTCAAATCTCCAAGGTGGGTTGAGTGAAACGGATTAAGACACTGGACAGCATTGTGCCGTACCCGTACAAGTTTGGCTGCATAGACCCATCTCATTTTCACTGACATTATCTGGTTCGGAGTCCACTTAACTTGTTTCATGTTCACGTATGTCATCTGCAAGTCAAGATGGTCGTTGGTTTGTTCGTCGAATTAACCAGCTGACCTGAAAATGTTTTTTCGCTAGCCGTCTGCCTTCAGTTGTTGTGTTTTCCTGTGACCTGATTGGTTCGCTTGGTGTGTCGCATGGCAGCTTCATTTCACTGCATCTGATTGGTCCACTTTATTTCAGTAGTTCTGTTTCTTTAATTTGAATGGTCCGTTGTTTTGTCGCAATACCACCTGCTTACCTTTCATTTACCTAATAAACAACATGTTTGTAGTAGTTTTCGTTCTTCGAGTTTATTAGTTCATTCATTATAATTCTGTTTGTTCGGTCCCAACCTGGTTCACTGTCCAGGCTTCGTGTGTTTCTTCTGCTTGTTTCCTCGCCAGTGCCGATAACATCGATTAGTGATGAAACGCTCGGAATCGAACCGTCAAGCGTAGCAAACAAACCAAAATCAAAGCGGGGCACCCGAGTTACTTAAATTCTACAACATCGCCAAATCCAGATATCATTTCATTCTTATTGAGTATAGGGACGCGAGATGGATCAAGTGGTTAGAGCTCGAATTTACTGAACCGAAGGTCCTTGATTCGAACCCGACCTCTGCCTCCTGACTTCCGCTGTCTAAGCTTGGGCAACCAGGCATTATCCCAGTTCTCGTGCTTCCTTCGGGTGGCATGGCAGCTGGGCACCGAAAGTGTGTTACAGCTGAACCTTGTTTTAGTGATGGTAGCCTATGAAGTGTGACAATGGGGAGGGGTTGGATTGATATTTTATTGATTCTGGGATCCTGTACAGCTTTTTGGCCACTTTCAAGACTCCTTTCTCACCAGTCGGTACATCGATATGTTCGATGTTCGTTCAGTCTTCACTTCTGGGTGTCATCTAAATCACTCCTGTGGTTTGTTTCGCAGCTGTTCACATTCGAGTTGCAGCACTTGGAATTATCCGGTATTTTGTTCATCTCTAGGTAACGATATTACGATATTACGTTGTTCCGCTTTTTGTTGAGAGGGGATTTAACATAAACTCATGATTTCTGCACGGTCTGGTCATGGGTCGAATCGTTCAAAGTGCTGACATACTCAGAATTATCGACCCTTTCGAGCTGAAGTCACGAGACTCGAAAATCCGATAACTTAATACGGTCCAGCTCTTCAGGCAAAACAGACCAACAGACGTAACAAGTTCAAGGAATTCATCCAATCAATCATCAAAAATGAGATGTAGAAAAGATGTCTTAAATTCAAGAACAAGATTTTTTTAGAAACAAGAGGAAGAATTTAGAAATAAAATGGGGGCTCAAATAACCGATTGTGTAAGGCGGGTAAAAAGCAAAGATTACGTCATCAATACTATGTGTGTGAAAGCCTCAGATCGATAGGGACCACATGAAAGAGCTTGCTACTGTTTAAAACCCAACCATCCTTTACACCCTATTTTTGACGTAAGTAGCTCTTCATGCAACTTCAGGAAGACCCAAGAAAATGCTCAAATCATTCACTCACGTGACACTTTCTGATTAAAAAAGAGCCGAATTTATGCTCTACGTACTGACATTTCGATCATACCACAGCAGTTCCTCGTGCGAATTTATGTGAGGATGCTATATAAACTTAACTGTATAGAGAACGCTAGTGGTATGGGGAAATTGATGTCATTTTCAAGAAAGATTTCGTGCTGTCGGTGAAGCCAAGCCATGCTGAAAAGCCAAGAAGCAAGGTACACATGTTTCAAAGTTGTTGGGATTGCGCATTTTACAAAAATTAAAAGCTTCGAACCCGCGACCTTTCGACCAGTAGTTGAGCGTCTAACCACCTCAAAAGTCGGCATCTGAAAAGCCATTGAATACGTTACCATGTTTTCTGAATAATATGATTGAAAGATGAGTCGCGCTTCATCCTGTCCCAGTGAGAGCTACCCACACTGCTGATCAGCCACTCGTTGCTGAACGGATAAACATATAACCACCGGCCAAAGGTTGGAGGGTTCCAAACTCTGTGACGCGCTCTGCTGATGATTCCCACTAAGGGTTCTTCTCAGTTTCTCAGAATAGACTGGCTCCCCGGATGAAATCTCTATCGAACAACAAATATCAATCTGTGTCACGTAAAGGCTGTGGTCAGTCAATGGGAATAGGTCACGTGGGGCGAAAACACAGGAGTAAGAGGTTAAATTGATAGATGCTCGATCCATATTAAGTGCACACAATGGCAATTGGGTAATTGGTGAACTTTGCTCAAAATCTCAGTGAAGATCACAACTTTGGCTCATTATTAAATCTGTTCATTCGAAAGGGTTCGACTTCGTTGAAGGCGTACACCATTTTCAGGTAATATTCATGTATGCTCCTTAGACATCGCAGCCCTTTTAACCGAATAACGTTTGTCTGAAAAGACTACCTGTATGTGCAGCTGTGTCCCACAATTCTAGTAGACGATTTAAGTGAGTAACCCTTAGGATTTGCATTCGATGTTCAATTTTGTCAAATGACACCACATACGGACAAAGTAGCGATGGGTTGTCCGCTTGGTCCCGTTTCGTCTGGCCCTATTATGAACACCGTTTAGAGCCAAATGAGTGAATAGCTTCCAGCTGACGACGATATGTATCACTATCCGTGATTGAGCAATAAGATCCGGCTTTTCAGCATCGATTGGCTTCACCCACAGGACCAAATCTCCATAAAAATCCCAAATCTCCTCACACTACCAACAATCTATAAGATCCTTAAAAGTCCAATCCTGACACATACTGTGAATCTGGTAGTGGCTTCCCTTTTCTACACTTAAAAGCCATAAAAAAACGCCACAAATCATCATCATCATCATCATCATCGACAGCATGACATCAGTGTTGAACACTGATGTTACGCTGCCGTACAACCATGATTTATTTAAAAGCCTTATTGTGAAGAAAAGAATAAAGGTTCATGTGGAAGGGACTTAGCTCGCTACAATTACTCCGAGGTGCCTACACCTCCAGACACTCAGTCGGACCATTTGGATCGAAACTGACAACAAGAACGCCACTGACATCGGTTACCAACCATATCTTGCAGTGTCACCAACCAGGCGCAGTGTGGATCACGCGGTTCCCATCTTGGAAGGCGAATAACACCCAAAATCCACTTCATACTCCTGTGCCATGTCAAGGGTTGGCCATCTCCATGCTTCTACCACTCTGAATTGGGCACGGA